TAGAGAGAGAGAGAGAGAGAGAGAGAGAGAGAGAGAGAGAGAGAGAGAGAGAGGGATAGATAATAAATGCTAGTGCTGCTACTGCCCCGGTTTCAGACCTGCCGCTACAAGTTGTAGTGGCGGTGATAAAACAGAGAAAGAAAAAAGGGGAAGAAGAAGAAAGGAGAGAGAGAAAAATCACTTGCCACTGCTGCCTTGGGTTCCAATTTGCAAAGAGAGAAGGATAAGAGAGAGAGAGAGAGGAAGAAAAAGACGTTGTAAAACTACACCGATAGTATATTTTACATTGATTATTGGTGTAAAAAAAATTAAAAAATCAGTTTTACACCGATTTATGGTGTAAAACTACACGCTTTCCAAACATGTGTAAAATTGAACCGAGGTGTAAAATTTACCCCGATTCAATTTTCCACCCCAAACAAATGTGGCCTTAGTAATCATATGAGAACGAAATCTGAAATATGAAAAATATCATACAGGACTGGAGCTTGTAATAAGAAATGTGAAATCTAAGAAATATAAGAATGCTAATCACGTGAGAATGAATGAAATATGAGAATATGCTTCACTTACTTAAGAATGACCTTAGAACTACGATTTCATGGAAAATATAGGGTAATAAGGTTTTAAAAATAAGAAAAATCATATATGAGAATGAAACCCTTATATGTTTTAGTGAGATTCATCCACTTTTGATGTAGTTGAGGCCTAATAATGAAAAAAGGGATAAAAGGGTTTATAAATTGGGGTTTATACATTAGAAGGGCAAAACGATCAAAAAATACATAAGGGTAATTTTGGAATTACCAAATGTTTAACTAATGGAATACTAAACGAATGTACCCAGGTGTTTATTTCTGAAAGTTCAAAGTACCTAAGTGTTGCATTTAAAGTTTGAGGTACCTATTTGTTACCACCCCCAAAGTACAAGCTACCTATCTGTAATTCACCATGAATAAAATCATACAAGTACGAAGATGTTCTAAATGCAAAGTTTCAAGGGCTACAAGGACAATGTAAGACGAAATTTGAATTCCCATTCTCACATTGCTGAATCCGGCATTTTATTTTTAGGTAAATTGCTGAAAATTCCCTTGAAGTTTTTGACTGTTACTAAAATCGCCCATGAAGTTTGGTAATTGCAATGACCTCCCATAAACTTTCTTATATAGTTGCAAGCAGACCCCCCTCTGTTAGAATCCTCTTACAAGAGGCACACAAATATCTAAAATACCCATGCAATTATTATTGAGGCTAATTTCTATAGAAAGAACAATACAAACATTATAAAAACAAAAAAAAGTAGAAAATATAAAATCCAATTTTACTTTTTAGCTATTGATATGAAGAAAAATTTGAAAATAAATGAATTTCAGCGAAGAGATTGGAAGGCTTTGGACTAGCAATATATATATATATTAAGAGAAAAAAGCATTTTGGTTAAAAAGTAATTGTATAGATTTTTTGGACATTTTGACATCTCTTTTTGAAAGATTACAACCAAAAGGGTGCAGCTGGGTGTCGAGAGAATTTGTGACGACTTCATGGATATTAACCAGCTGACAAAGTCCAGCTTGAATGAAATCCGAAATCCGATCGGGTTCCAGTTCGTTTCCGTTTTGTCATACAAACGATCGGATTTGGACCGAACTCGGACAAGACACACCCGATCCGATTACAGGTCTAATGAAGTGTCGATCGGGTTCCAGTTCGATTCCGTTTTGTCATACCAACGACCAGATTTGGATCGAACTAGGGCAAGGCACACCCGATCCGATTACAGGTCTAATGAAGTGTGACTGTGAGACGATTTCAACACCCGATCGTGTATCACACGGGTTCTTTCTAATAATAATAAAGAATAATAAAAACGGAGATGAACGTTACATTAGGCAGCTGACGGCGTCAGTGCCGAGAGGAGAAAGGGAGGGAAAGAATTTATTCAAATAAAAACAAAGATTACAATTTATATCCTTTTGCCGCATTTACTCACGTTTTGAAGCCCGGGAACTTCCCTTTCTTTTCCCTTTTCCCTCCCGCTCTCTCCCTCTCTCTCTCTCTCTCGTCGGCTCCGGAAGCCCGATCTTTGCCCTAAAAATTATCGTTTAGGGCAAATCGATTCAAACTGATGTGAGATTTCACTTTCTGATGCAGTGGAGTTCAGATCGTGTTTGACGAGTTCGTGGCTTCGCTTCCGCTGTTCAAAAAGATTTTCAATGTCGAGGTATCAGTTGATTCAACATATTCCGACGTTTTTCTTTTTTCTTTTTCCCTTCAATTGTTTTATGCGTCCTATGTAATCAGCTGAGGATTGATTACGGAGATACTAATCGGGGATTTTCTGTATCTGCCACTTTGTGTTGTTATGATTGAGCAATCAAGATTCCTGCTTTGTAGATGGGTCTTCTAAGAAATGTTTTATTTCTACTTAACCGCCTTTTTAAGAAATGAAAAGTCAGGATTATCTTGGATTGGTGAAGTGAGTAATTTCTGTAGCTGCTTCTGGTAGAAAAGAAAAGTAATAAAATGCAGGAATTTCAGAAATCTCTCAGTTTACAACAAGGAAAAAGTTGCGTGAGAAACAAATATATATTTTTTCTAGGGAGAGGCCTGTGGCTGTAGAAAAGTTAGATCGTAGTTTTTTGAAGAAATAGGGTTACTTGTGATCAGATAAGAACCTAGCAGTGCGCGGGTGCGGTAAAAGTTGAAGTTAACAGATGCTTTACCTTTTTTCTTGTAATGCTGCTATTAGTTATTCCACACTAGGTTCCTTGACTGTTGGATGCGTGGAACAATTGCAGGAAAAAATTTGGTCATGGGGGGAATATATAGATTTACAATATGACTATGGCAAAAGTTGCAGTTCCTGGTTCTTTGACATCTAATTCTCTTCCTTTTGGAAGAGGTTCAAAGGTTCAAGCTGGTAAGGCAATGAAAAGGAAGACACCCTCGGAGTTGAGAGTAAGTTTCTGAATCCATGTTTGTTTTGTAAGGATGTACAGTAAGTGTTTAGTCACTCCATATAAGCATTGCATTTCTATTTTGTGTTCCTTTCTTCCAAGTTTTGTTACAGATAAGTGGTTGTTACATTAATTTAGGGACTATTTCTTACCCATTAAAGTTTTATTAGTTTATTGATGGTTTTGAATATGCTTAAATAAGTATCATACATATGGTTCTAGAAATTATGGTCATGGTGTCACACTGTCATAGTTGTCAAGGCATTGCCTAGATGACTAGGCACCCTTGGCTGGTTGGCTTGCCTGAATGCTTTGACTTACAGAAACAAGATGCTCACCCAGGTGATAACGTGCCCACCTAGGCAAAAATATGATCAGGTGTGCACCTTACTATAGTGTCATTCATAGTGCTACATCTTACCAATATGTGTGTTAATACATTTTATTATATACTATATCTGTCATTCATACTTTGTTTTAAAGTTTCACTATTGAAATTTAAAAGGTCATAGGTTTTGGGAAGAGAAAAATAAAGAATAGAAGTATAAAGAGATTTTTTTTTTTGTTTTTCCTATTCTCTCTCTATCTCTTACATTAAATAAAATAACGGCTCCATGCTTGTTCTTTTTTCTCCTTTACTTTCTATCTTAAAATTTTAACATATAAAATTATATCCTTCTTTAGTTGCTAATTGAAATGAAATTACTCTATATATTAGTAACATTTTTGAAAATATTGAAATTAATATATTTAAAATACTTTTCTCTTTTAGATTTGATAATTTCCATGTTGGGGAGGAAATTTAATGTTGTTAATGAAGAGAATTGCTATTTTTTCAATTAATATGTATGCTGAATGGTATATAAAACTAGGGAACTGGCCAATATTTACTTCTTTATCTTATAAAATTCTTATTGCCTATGTGGGTCCCTAGAATTGCCCAGATGCCTTGACAACTATGCACACTAACCTTATACATATACCTTCACACGATGGGCTGTTGTGCATGTGATGTGTACCTTTATGAAAATGGTAATTGGAAAGAGAAATGAAACAGTTTTCTTCTGGATTACTTTATATGTTAAATTTTGCTTCTTCTTCTTTGTAAAAATATTTGATATTTATGAGACTTTGCGTCCTTACTATTAGTAACTTTTCATATGTAACTTTACTTCATCCTCTGTAAAAGTATTTTATATTTATGAAACTTTACTTTCTTACTATTAGTAACTTTTTCTGCACTCCTTCCATACTTGAAATTTCAGCAAAGAATGATCATCTTTGCTTGGACATTATTTCTTACTAATAAGTCTCTATCCCTTGTGATAGTGAATAAGTAGATGTATAAACTAATGATGTTGCTTGTAAGACCTTGGTATAATCACTAAAACTGATATTCTAACTTGGTAATTGTCTTGATGTCACCATGAAAGAATGCACATCATGCTTGTTATAGTTGAATTATCTATATATATTGTTGTGACTGCTGAGTTTATTTATTTGTTCATTGGATCTACTTATAATTAAAATTTCCCTATAATTTACAATTTTACTTGATCTTTTATGTTTAAACCTTAACTTTTTTAATCATTTGTGGTTTTTCTTTTATTTTTCTGAACTGAAGCTTATTTATTGAAGGGTATTGGCATTAACCCACTCAATTTACTCCCCTTCCCAACCTGCTTTCTTTCTAGAACCAAGTTGCTATTAATCTTCTTGTCTTTAAATGATGTCTAAACATTAATATGAAGATTCATGGATGGCAATCTTTTTATTTGGTGTTACCATGGTCGTGGCTCCTGCTATGGAGTACACCAGGTTAGCTCAAGTGCACAGGAGAGTTGATATTACTTACAAAGACTGTTTGTTCAATTGTTATCTCTTCCACCCTACTGGTTGGCATTGCCGTCCTAAATATTGCAATCGACAGATCTTTAAATGATTGATTAAACATGCTGACATGATATCTTTTCTTCCACCCTACTGGATTCTTCTTATATATCTGTGAAGTGAATCATTACCATTCCTTTTATGGATTATATTTTCAATAAAAGTTTTTTACATTGTTTTGCACCTTTTCTTCTTATAATATCATTTAACAAATTTCTATTAGGRAAGACCATTCCTTTTATGGATTATATTTTCAATAAAAGTTTTTTACAYTGTTTTGCACCTTTTCTTCTTATAATATCATTTAACAAATTTCTATTAGGAAAGACCATCTCTCATGGTTTTCATAAACTTGTGTCACAGGGAGAGCAATTGAAGCGAAGTTGCAGTCAAGAGCTTGTAGATGAATCACCAGTTTCTTTGCCTGGTGCTGAGAAGTAAGTTTCTCTCATTGCCCTTTATGTTTATTTACTTTAGGTTTCAACCAATACCAACATTTGTTATTTTTCAGGAATAATACTGGGGTAGCAAATAACGTTAAGAAATCAGAGACATCAAAAGTTCCCAGGTATATTGACACCCGTGTTGATGAAGTATTTCCTGTCAGAAAATCCAACAACAGGGTTAGACTACTTAATGGAAAAGAGAAGGGCAAGGTCAGTAGATTTGCTTCAAAATAGACGTAGGTCATCATTATGAAGCCTGTAATTTCTTCCAGTTCCAGAATGTCATTTATTGTCATTGTCACAATTATCTAGTTGCTTATGGTTTCTATGAATTATATGGATTTTTTGCAGGATAGTTTTTCAAATGAGCAATCTAACAGTCTCAAAAAGTCAACTGCTTCTTTTGGGTTGGCTGATAAAAGTCAACCCCTATTTACATGGTATTAGTTTCATGACATAGAATGTTTCTCTCTGAAGCTTCAATACCATATCTAAGTCTAACTGTTTTGCCCCCCTCCAGTGGTGGCAGTTCTGTGTGTTCAGTGGATTCAACTGCATCTGCCAAGGATATTCTGGGTGAAGCTTGTCAGACAACTGAAACATGCAATCAACGATTAACTGAAAAAAGCAATCAGTTTCTTAGTCCTTCTGAAGCTTCTTTGGGCATTGGAAAATCGGATTTAATTGCTGTTGATATGGTATTTTTGTGTTTAAAAGTTTCCCTTTGTTGGCCATTAAAAGTTGCATCTCTATCAAAGTTATGGTATTTCAGTGCTTTCTTTTTATAGGACAAAGTGCTAAAAGGACTTGTTGCTCATAACCCTCCTGCTGATTCTTCTGAAAAAGTTGGTGATCTCTCATCAGTTTATTCTGGTAGTTTCTGTTCTGAAGTCCATATTCCTGGTAGTAAAACTCCTTTGGATCTTACGCTCAAAACTACTGTGCGATTGGTCTCCTCTTCCCCAGTAAATTGGTGAGTATGATGATAAAACTCATGTTAGATTTACTTTCTGGTATGGCTTGGATCTCCTGCAAGCAAAAACTCTATGCACATAGCCATCCAGCTTCACAGTGGGAGTACCTCCTGCACATGTTTGTTAAATTTGTGGGGAGATGTTCCCAATGTGCTGCTGGATTTCCATTCTTTCAGAGTGTGTGCAGAGTTTTTGCTTGTGGGGGATTCCATTGCATTTTTATTATATTGTACCAGTGTTATCAAATCATTTACTAGTCATTGACCAGTCAACCAACTAGTCAATTGAGGGCCAAAGTGACTGCATCACTAACTAGTTGGTCACTATTCATGATATGGCTGCCTATATGATTGAGCATCAACTAGGTCAACTAGTAAACAACAAAGTTACCTTATTTTTTTTCTTTTTGGTTTAGTTCTAATTAATTAAAATAACATAGCATATGTTTTTACTGTTTATATGCATGTTGTTTCAAGTATTTGTGATGGAAAATGGTTGGGTGATAGTTTAAAACACAAAAGTGAAATGAAGTACAAGTTATTTTTATTTTTCTTCCAATCAGTGGTGTACCCGACTCCAGTTAGGGAATAGACACAAACAAGGGTTAGATCAATTGGTCAAAGGTTGCACTCATGCTTTTGAAAAACAAAGGCTTAACTCCCTACCCTAGCCTATCCAACATTATTTTTATGTTCACAAAACAGAGACTGCAATCTAAGTCCTTGAGATACTTCTTGCACCGGTAAATCTGGATTGACTTGGAGGATTTAAGAGTTAAATCTCATGTTTTTACTCTACACCTAGCTTTTGGTCAATCTTTCCTATTGTTTCTACTTTTGAAGTATCCAACATGATGCATCAGCCCTGTACAGGAATCTAGGTGTCATAGCTTGTCTTTCTTTTGTTCTAGGTCATAGGTATCATAACTGGTTGGCTACAATAGTTTTGACCAGATCATTCAGATGAAATTGTTTCCTCTGGCATGGTTGTTGCAATATACCTCTCTCTAACATCACATGCTTCTTTTTTATATCTGTGGTCTTTCTGTTGACTGTTATATGTTTAAACAGTTTAAGGGCCTTATTTTGTCAACAATTTAACAGTGGATATGGTTTTAAATAGAATGAATTGGCAAAACAGGATTCAAGTAGCCAACCCCATATAGTTGGGATAAAGCATGGATGATGATGATGAGTTGATTAGCTACAAGATAGGTTATTGGCATATAATTGAACTTGGATAGAGTGGCTGATGATCACCATCCAAGTATTGTAAAGTTAACAGAATTTTGGCTGTATTTGGTTGGACAAAAATATGTTACATAACAGTTATTTAGAAAAAAAAATTCTAGTGTTTGGTTGCCAGTAAAATACAAGGGGAAGCAAAATGTTATCCTAAACTAGATTGAGAATGGGGTTAAATTACTTGCCCCCCTTTAAAGTGTAGGTTATTATATCCAGATTCTTGGATGAGATCATGGGCTTCACTTTTGAAAGTTCCACCATATAATTGTCTCATTAAAACCAGTCCCATTGAATAAAATTTTCAATTTCATGAATTCACTTTCCTCTACCAAAGCCTAAAAATCTAGTAGTTAAGACCATGACCACATTCTTCAAGTTGCAATCAAGCATAGCAAATTTAATAAAAATGATATTTTTAAAAATACTTATCTTCCTTTAGAATTTAGAAATATTTGCCTGCCAAAAATTTTTTCTGGGATCCAAACATCTTTTTCTTTTCCCATTGGATTGAAGCATTAAATCTTGTATTGTTCAATTGCTTGCCTCTTTACACTGCTGTCTTTGGTTCCTGTGTATCCCTTCTCACATATGCGTTTACCCATATATTCCATGTCTTCCTAACCTTGATCCTGAAAACCTGTTTCTTTTAAACCTAATGGCATGTTAACAGCCATATGATTAACCATATCTAGCCAAAAGCTATGCATTAATATATTGTCTATTCAATAAAAAAACTGTCAATTTGATTTATAAAAAAACTACCAATTTGCTGTCTCTGTTTTAGCATTTATTGGAACATTTTTAACATTTAGCACCTATGACCCTCTCTGAATTTGTCCACTGTCCTAGTTGAACTTTGAATGTATATCAAGAACACACTCATTCCACATGTTTGAAGGTTTAAGATTTCTGGAGTGATATAAAATTCAATCTTTGGATAGGCCTTATTTGATGTATTTACCACACTTCTATTGAGCTTGGGTCTCCTGCAAGCAAAAACTCTACTCACATAGCATCCAGCTGCATATTGGGAATATCTATTGCACGTGTTTGTTAAATGCATGGGGAGATGTTCCCAATGTGCGGTTGGATTCCTATGCTTTCAGAGTGTCTATAGAGCTTTTGCTTGCAGGGGATTCCATTGTGATCTTATTATATTGTACTGCCAACCAGCTATGATACCTACTACCTAGAACTAAAGAAAGACAAGCTATGGCATCTAGGTTCCTGTACAGGGCTGCTGTATCATGTTGGATACTTCAAATTTTAGATTAAATTTTGTATTTGACAGATCATCACCTTCTCCAGTTGTGCCTTTGCTTTAAGGTAACATAACCGACAATAAAAAAGTAGAGGATTTACTTTCTAGTAGGGCTGTCAATGGGTCAGGTCCAGGTAGATCCAGTCCCAAACTGATTATTAATCGGGACAAAATCATAGACCCAGAACTGTCCTGATTAATAGTCGGGTCAATTGGGTCCAGACCCGATAGACCCGATTGTACTGAAAACTATATTTATTTATTTAAATAATAAAAATGATAGAAAATACTAAATTATTTATATGTTGATAAATTAAACATTTTAAGTTTTTAACTAATATTATCTTATTTATTATCTATCAAATTTACTATTTCGAACTTAAAATATGATAAAAATTATAAGAAAATTAAGAAAATATCATATATAATTAATAAAATAATTTGTTCTGGGTCTGAATCGGTTTGGGACAGGCAAGAACTGGAACTGACCCAATTATTAATTGGGACAAAATCATAGAACCAGAACCATTATAGTCGGTTTGGTCAGTTTGGGCCTGTTGGGTAGACCCGACCCATTGACAGCCCTACTTGCAGCCTCCATTTTGGATTGCCGCTTTACTCTAAATTGTATTTGAACTCTGAATTGAGTTATTAGTTATAGTGATGGCTTTGTTAGTTTCTTTTATTTTTGTTGCTGTTGGATGCTGCCAAGCTGGCCTTTTAAACTGCATCTTGTTTGTGATTTCTAGGTGTCATAGGGTAACTCCAGGTAGTTCATACAATTTGATGGCTCAGTTCACTTCTCGATTTGGTTGTTCTGGAGATCATGATGTCCGGCAATCTTTGGAGACTGCTCAGGCATTGTATTCAAAAGCCTTACATTCATGGGTCTACCCACAATCTTCTTTACCACCCCTTATTATATCAGCATTGACTTCAGCAGCCGCACAAGGAGGTTTGTTGCCTAGTATGAAGATAGTTCTGCATTTAGGTTGTTTCAACTCTTTACCACTGATATTTATATTCTGAATGATTTTGGTATCAGGAGAGGCAGATTTCTTATTGAAACGACAACTAGCCTGGGAAGATTCATTTCAAAGTCTTTACTATATGCTTCGGAGGAGAATCTGTGACATTTTTTATGGTAATTACCTTTAATTGAGTTAAACGATTTCATTTAGGACTCCGAAAGTTATTGTCTGCAATATATATTTATTGGAAGTGAATAGTGCTTCTCAAGGCTTTCCTTTTTTCCTTTTTTCTTTTCCCCTATTTTGGATGCCATGTGAAGGACATCATATTAGAAATGAGAACAAAAAGTATGTTTCTTGTACAAAAGTGACATCATTCGTTGAAAACCTAAGAGTCCATTTCCAAGTTTGCATGTGCTAGTAGGGATGAGCATCATACTGGCTAAGAAAGGCTCTGGTTCAGTCCAACCACAACATAATTTGAACTTGGCTGTGGCTCAGTCCAAGGAGTTAGGCTGAACCTAGCCCAACTATTCATGATAGGCCTGGGGCTAGTTGAAATTGAAGTGGCTATGTATATCTTATTTACAAAATTAAAGTGCCTATGTTTTATTTTACAAGAGAATACTACTTAAACTAAAAGGAAAGTTTTATAAAATTTTGTTTGGAGTATAAGTGTTGAGTAGTTTTTTTTTGATAAATGAATAAGTGTTGGGTAGTTAACAAACAATATGTTAAAAACTGAGTGTGGCAGAAATATGAACATTGAGATTATAGTAGTAAATTTTAGGTAGATAGATGCACTATAACTGGTCTACCCAGTCACTCTTCTAGGGTTAAATTGAGGTACTATAGTATGCTGAAAACTATGTTATTTGAACACTTCAAAAGGAATGCTGTACTTGTATCGGATTTTGGACACTAACACTGACGTAACACTTGTGGAAACTCTTTTCGTTGTCATACCTGTGAACTTCAAACTCTTGGGTTGTAACATTTGGACTTGTTTGCTTAGTAGTGACCACATAGATTTATTTATCTACAACTCTACATTCAAATCTTTTTTCTTTTTCAAACATCCCATTATGACATAAAAAAATATATTGTTAGGCATGTAACTTAAACTGAAGTATAGCAGTTAAGTCCCCAGATCCTACTTTTTTGGGCTTTCTGAGTTTGAAACTTTTAACTGTGTCTGATTCTGACTCTCATACCAGCATTCATGTAATATAGGAAACAACGGAATCATGTAGGATGATTATGCCCTAGTGAAGGAAGGAGTTTCATGCATTCTTCCTAGAGTGCAGGATGATCGAATGTGCTAAATTTGTTACTATATAAGTGTTAGGGCAAAAACATCTCTCTTAACCTATTTTGATTTACCAACTGATGGTGGCTCAGTTTTCTGTCTAGTTTTAGCGGAGACCTGGGATCAAATCCCATACTGGTTACATATATCCAATAAATAAAAACCATAATCTATCTTGGGTATTGTGCATAGATTTTTTTTTTCAAACTGGTTATACTAAATCTCTGAAAAATGCATCATGCCTTTATTTACCCGAAGTCTGTAATTTTCTTTCTTGTGCAATCATGTATATAGTCAAATAGCCAATTATATGCATAGGGACCATTACTTGGTGTAATGGTAAGATCTTGGGCTGTCAAGCATTAAAATGCATGTTTGAGCAAAAATGCCAAAGATTAGGTTGTATCCAGTCCACCCTCCCAAGATCCGAGATAGCTGGGGCCAACATTGGGTAATGGCCTTTTAGTAAGTTATATGCAATATAAGTACCATATGCTAATTTTGTTTTTTGTTGCAAACTTTCCAGTGTGTACTTCACAGTTTGTGGTGATGTTTACTGGTGCTGACTACCCTGGAAGAACAAATCGATTATGTAATGCTTACATCTCCCAGTCTACAAGAGGTTTAAGATCCTTGCTTCGAGAGCATGTATGATATACTATCTTTTTTTAATCATTATGCTGGAGTATACATACCTAAAATCATGACTTTTTGTTTCCTCTATTCAACTTTTACATTTATTATCCATATTATGGGAATGATTAACCTAGAAACCAGATTCAATCTTTATTTAACAAAATAAAAATTTATTGATGGAAATAAATGCAATAAAAAATGGTGAAAATGGTTTCACCATAGAATCAGAAACAGCAAAAAAACAAAAACCATCGTCTTGATCATCCTCAGTAGTTGTGTCCAATGTTGACTATAAAATTGCAATTCAAGGCTTCTTTTTTCTCATTGACAAATTCAGACATCAAATCCCCTTCCACCACATTTTTTCTATCAGGATGATGCTTTCCTTAAAAATACACCTATTTCTTTTCTTCCAAATTCTCAAGAGACCCCAATTGGAATGATACCATAAATGATCTTTGCTTTCTTCCTGCCACTAGAAGAAGGCTACCTTGGAAAGATCTCTTGAAGCATTGCAGGACAATATCTTGAATGATTAGACAAGGTGAAGAGGGCCCAAATAAAAGTAGTAACTTTATGATGAATAAACAAATGGAAAATATCTTTTTCAATTCTCTTGCTCAATAGCCTCTTTTGAGCCAGCTTGAAATTCTTTTCAAATATGAGGCTAAATCTTAGTTTTGCTTGTCTAATGAAGTATTTGGTTGATCTATTAGAATCATTGCACTTTCTATGAGCATAAATTTTGCTTGAACTCAATCTATCATGTAGTTTCCACTTCAGTTTGAGGACAACTTCCTAAATTATGTCTCTAAACTTTAGTTACTTAGCATTGTTTGGTGGTTTGGAATAAGATATTTTTAATTTTCACATATTTCACAATCTTTTCACCATGTCCATAATTTTTACAATATTTGCATATGATATTTATAACATGTTCCTTATATTTTGACCAATATTTCAACTGGTACTGACATTTTAAACCTGCTTGAGTTAATAGGAGGCATTGTTTAACATGCATACCTTCTATGTTTTGTATAAACGGATTATTTCTACATGTTACTTCTAAGTCTTCTTAACACATGTATGAGAAATGATCTTAAGCAATTGAAGTTAACAGTTCCTCCTTGTATGCATGTGCCATATCTTTCAATTGGGTGTATGAATATCTACAATGTAGAAATATCAATTTTCCTGATGCTTCTCATATATGCAGTTTCCACTGTTAGGGATTATGGACTTGAAATGTCTTCTTTATAGGGTTTTATATTTGTTCTATATTTTTTGGCATTCAGATATATATATATTTATTAACATCTTTCTTTTGTATCAATTATCAAAACTAGGACATTTGTTTTTCCATGCCTCTATGCCGTTCTGAAGTAGAGCAAGCTAATGTAGAAGACCTAGTAGAGCTTTCAGAGATTGAGAAACGCAATGTGGGCCAGGTCTTACTCTATACTTGTAACCATTAAAACTTTTACATGATTTTGATATTGCAAATACTCATGCAGGGCAGATTTGATGGTGACTGGTGCACATAGGGGATACTGAAAGAGTTACAAATTTGATATTTAACCCATCTATTGTTGCTTCCAATATTTGATTTAAAAAATCTCCTCTGTGGATCCATAGAATCATTATTGTCAGCCTTTGGATATGTGCCATTTGTTTGGCAAAGGTTGAATTGTCATCTGTACATCTTATTTAGAGTTGTAAACTGACAATGGAAGTTGTTTCTCATGCTTTCTGTTTGGCTTGGTTTTATCCTATTTATTTGATGCAGGCTCGCCGTTTGGTTTCTATCTCTGATGTGGATAACAGTCCTCAATCTCTTCTAGCATTTTCTGGAAATGACAATGTACACGGATTGTATGATTTTCTGTTAAACTATAGGTAAGTTTGATTCCTTTGGTATCTTAGGGACTATACATGCAGCATTATCAGGCTAAGGCTGTGCACATTAATTGCATATCTCATTAATTTAGACCTTTGTTTTTGGGTCACAACCTGGTGTAATGTTAAATTCTTGGCCAAAAAGCATTAGATTGTGGGTTTGAGCCCGAGTGGTCATTTTGTACAAAAAATGCTGAAGGTTAGGACCTTATCCAGTCTACCCCTCCCAAGACCCCAGATATCTGGGACCTACATTGGGTTATGGCCTTTTCTTTAGACCTGGGTTTTGATCTCAGTTTCATTTTGTTGTGTTTTTCCAGGTCAATCTTAAGTTCTTTGACTGGCTTAGATGTCCCTCTCTTGTATTCACCAGTCCCATTCCAAAATGCATCTCTTTGTTCTCCAGAGGTTTGTATTATTTTATCTTGTTGCTGAAATGGTTTTTTATAAGCTCATTATCTTTGTCTTTCTATTAACAGGGCAACTAGCCACAATTATCCTATATCAGCAAACATATTTTTATTTAGTATTTGATTTTGTTTTATTTTGATCACTACTTCTATAAATGATCAAGACGTTGATGTGATGCTTAAAAACTGTGTTGATTCTATGAACATTTTGGATGGTTTAATGGAATTAATGGCTAATTTTAAATCTAGAACTAGATCATTTTCCAGTTTAAGGAGCAAAAGTAATGCTTCTTAAACTGGAAAATGATTAGAATGCTTATAAGGTTTCTTTTCTAAAGCTCTAATATTTGGTCCTTGTATTTAACCATGAACAGAAGTGAACAGGTGAGCATTTCTTCAAAGTTTTACCCCTTTCTTTCTTCCTTCTACAAGAAGTTTTGTGATATCTTTCTTTACTTCTGTTCCTTTTTTTTCCCTCTCTGCTTTTCAAATATCTAATCCAAGATATGTTGTAAGAAGGAACTTTTGCCAACCTGTCATAAGTTTTTTCATTTCTGTTTTACGAATATTAATGCATATAGAAGAAAACATTGTTTTCTTCATGAGTTGAGTATTGCTTTTAGCACTAGAATATTGTCCTGAACTTTACAAGCTTGTCACTAATTTCAGCAACTCTCTAGACTTCTATTGAATATAGCTGATAATTCTTTTGTATGTATTTCCTTGCTAATTTCACTTTTTTTGGCCACCTTTTCCAGGTGAGATGCAGAGAGATGAAGAGAGTTGATACAGTCTCTTGTAGGGGTTCCAACATGGAAGAAGGCAACTTCTGTCAAGATTCACGAACTGGTTTCTGCTATAGTATTGAAGTCAAGGACACCTTTCTTCCACCATGGATTATTTCTGGCATATGTGCTGCCATGGGCTCTGAAGGAAGAAGTTTTGAGGCCAGGTGTGCTGAATTCTCTCTCCCCATAACATATAAGATTTGGAGAACATGTATCACCTTGGTGACTTGTTTGTGTGAGGATGTTCTGTTTGGTGCCAAAGGACTCATAGCTGTTGTCCAGGACAGAACAATGTGCCATGTGATAAGTTACCTTTCTGAGCTTTTAAGAGTTCTATACAACTTTCCTCTCCCATCCATGTATCTGTCAGGAACAAATAATTGTGGTCATGTTTGAAGATTTTTTCCTAGTAAATCTCATGGTGGGACCCATCGAATAGCTGGTCTATATGTTCTGAAGTGGAACTAATGGCAAGTTATGGGCAACAGAGCACTCTATGAGTTACTCAGTGATTTAAAAGGCACATTTTAGGGTATGTGCCTTGCCTATGTCCCAGGTGCAGCACTTTCAAAAGGCTCATGCTTGGTGTGCCTAGGCGTGTGCCTGGTATGTCTTGTGCTTGAGTCTAGGCGTGCGCCTTTTGAAAATTTGTGTGCTTTTTTCTGTTTTTTTTAATGCTTAGCAGTTGGGCCTGGGGTTCTACCCTTGGACCCTCGGCCAAGCCCCTTGAGGCAGCCCAAAGAAGTCCATATCAGGATCTTAAATTCTTAATCCTTATCAGCAAATATGGGCTTGCCCCTCGAGGCAATGTTGTTCATTCCTTCATCCTAATAAAAGATATTTTTAAAAGACACTTAAAGTTGTAAAAAACTTTTTTTATAGGGACTAAGAATTTAAGACCCTGATATGGACTTCTTTGGGCTTGCCTTGAGGGGCTTGGCACAAAGTTTGCTCGTAGAATCGGGACTGCATAATGTTTAACATCACATTAGCTAATTGAAGTAATGCAATTGGGAAAAAAATAAAGAGATCAAGAGTTTACATGCTTGAATATGCTTTATATGTTTATAAAAAAAATATGCTTTATATGTTATGCTTGATTTTATTTTTAAGTATTCATTTTAAATATGTTTTACATGTTATATTTATGTATTTTAATTTGAGATAATAGGTTTTTTAACATTTATTTTAAAGCTTAAGTTTATATTTTTAATTAATATTGTGTTTACTATTTTTAATAGTTTGCATTGTTTTTGAAAATTTTGGCATTTTTTGAAAAATTTACCATTTTTTTTTCATTTTTGTGCCTTGCTTCAAAAGGGTGCATGCCTGGCAGCTTGCCTTGCACCTTGCACTTTGGGTGCAATATGGCCCTTGCGCTTTTAAAACACTAGAATTACTGTAACCCTAGATATAAACTGTTGCATTATTTGCACAAGTTGCTTGTTTTAAATTACCACTCAAGTTTTTTTTTTCTCTTATTTAGTTAGAGTACATTATTTTTCTTACATTTTTTGGTGCATTAAATTACTTGAAAAAAGAGTTGGGCTATCTAGAAAGAATTCACTGATGGGTGCCTTGTTTACTTATCTAATTTGGATGCCAGGTTGTTTAGGTTGTCTAAGTATGCTGCATGTTATGGGGTAGTAGCTCATCCTTGGGGTCTTAGAAGCCATGAAATTAACAGTGATTTTACAATTGTAAATAGTGGTTCTGTAATGGCACAAGGCTATAGTTTGTAGTTGCATAATGTAAATAATGTTATTAGAAATTTTGTCTTCTTCGACCTATTGTTTTAAGAATCTTATAATACTCTAAGAATTCTGGTCATATTTGACTATTTTTTTTTCTTTAGCTTGTTTGTTTATATAATAAAATGTAAATGATGAATAATCGAAGAATTAAAAAGAATCTAATTATGTATATCCCTACTACCATTTATCTATGGATAATGGTCAAATCTGGTCACCATTATCTCTGTTATTTTCTTGTGTCAGATTGTAAAAGATAAGAAACTCATTTTGTATGTTTTGTGTGCACTCATGAAAGCATGTATGATATGGGTTAACAAATTGGTTGTTTATTTTAAGATCATAGGTTGGGCAGCAATTTTTGAAGGTTAAATTACTTTGCATACCTGAAAAGCTATTCCCTTCTATTGTGCTGAGACAATACAAGGTCAAGGTTTTGCCTAAGCACACACTGGGACACCTTGGATTCTGGGGCCTTTCTCCCGGAATTTGTCAGACCAATAAAGTTTCTTAGGAGCTTCTGCTTCCACAGCGTAGATTGACTTGTTACTTGTTTTGGAAATAAGTATTTAGATTTTACTAATCATTTTCTGGTAAGAATATTGGGTGGGACAAGTTAATGGAAAGATTTTGACTAAAAGGAATCTAATGCATATTTATTATGAAATATTATTTGAACCCCTCTGGCCCCAGATATAATGACAATTTTCATCTATAGTGTTTCTTATTTAACCTTTGGTGATTTTGCAGCTTTACAACTGAGGCCATTTCTATTGGCTTGAATGTTGCACTTGATACTGACTGTCAGAAAACTGATACTAAAACAGAGGCATGTAAAAGCTTGCCAGAAAGCAATACCTTCAATGTTCCAAAAGCTGTTGTTGCTCCTTGTTTGCAATCTGCTTCATTAAGAGGGCTGAAGTACTGCAATGGTTCTTATACAGCTTCACTTTTGCCTTTATAATGTTCTATTCTCATAGAGCACACCTATCACAGGGGACTGGACTGCTGTATTCATTAAGTGCAGTTTTGTTTGCCTTTCTGCATTGCTGCCTATTTTCTGCATTTGTGGCAAATCCCGTTTCTAACGTAATCATGCCCATGCCCATGCGTATGTGCTAGTAGTTTTTGGTGAAAGTTATTTTACTGCAGCTAGCAATGTAATTTTTTTTTAACTATTGCACTGATCTATTCCATTACCATCAAATTATGCTAACCTTGTTTCTTGGACCTGCAACTAATCAAAATTCTAGGGGCATTTTCAAGTTCAAAGTGTCAACAGTTCAGAAAAGTGGTCTAAAACTTTTTTAGAAGAAAAGTTCAATAATTGTGGACCCTAAGTTCCCTTGCAAAAGAACATTGGAGAATTAGTTAACTTCCCTCTTGATCAACTTTCTCCTTGTTGACACTTTGAACTTGAAATAAAAGTATCCCTTGCTTGAAATGTATGAACCACAATTTTTGTGTGCATCATGCCTATTGTGATATTTTAAACCTTGGTTCCAGTGAGTAACCAATACATGGAATTCATGGAAAATGGGGGCAAGGTTCTAAATATCAATATAGGGTCGGGCGTATTGGCCTGTATCGGTGCTTTTTTATGTTTTGTTTATTTTTTTTCAAAACTGATTTAGAGGGGTTGGTTTAAGTCCTGGCTACCCTCTGAACTGTGACCTGACTTGATACACCCCCTGTATCGGGAAGGCCCCGATATTTGATGAAATTTTGATAATGGGGTATTGATTTATTTTTGTTGATACTGAAGTATATTTGTATATCACACGTGTAGGACTCAAATTGTAAAACGAAAAATAATATTGCAAGAAATGACTTTGATCTTCAAAAAAGTAAATTCTTAATGGCATCTTTGGATCTATTTTTTCTAGTGTTTTCTCATCCTTTATACATTTTTTTTTAGTTTGGATAACTAAAACTACAAAACTTTAAGATCCTAACATGGATTTATTTGAATGTCTTGGTACAAAAGGTAGTTTGTAGAATTAATAATGCAAGATATATAACATCATAATAACTATTTGAAGTAAAAAAAAAAGATATTAGAAGCTTCACATGCTTGAATTGTTGAATGCAAATATGCTTTATATGCTACGTTTGATACTATTTTTATAGTTTTACTTTGAATATGTTTTACATGTCATGCTTATGTATTTAAACTTAGTCAATAGGATTTTTAAAACATTTAATTTCTAAATTTTAAGTTTGCATTATTATATTTATTATTTTTGAATTTATTACATCTTTTTTTTTTTTTTGAATTTTGCACCTTGCTTCAAAAACCATGGTGAGTCTAGGCTTTGAAGGTATATTCTAATGCTTGATCATCCTTAATTTATTATTCATTATTTTAGTGTTTCATGAATTGTATTTTTAAAAGATTGGAGCTTTGGATTTACGAAGTTGAGATAACAAGTTTTGTGAACAATTTGTTAAATTATATGCTTATAATTAAAAGCATATTTATATATATTCCTATATGTCGATTATGATATAAACAATATGTTAATTTTGATACATTTCCTTGCGGGGAACATTGATTAAAGCATGTGATTCTTATAATATATATATATATATATATCATCTTTAAGATTTATATTTAGTGTTTTTCTTTCCATTCTATAAATCCCCATAATTTGAGACTTGAATTACTTATATTTACTATTATTGATGCTTTTTATGGTTTATTTGAGTTCTATAGCTATTCCGTGCATATCTTGATTTTTTGCTCATATCCGTGCTATGCAAAGTGTATCCCGAGATATTTCTTACAATTTGCCTTTGCGATACACCTTACATTGTCCATACCTTAAACTTTGTTCAATACAATCATTTGATCCATCACTCTAATTCATTGTTTGCCTGTTTGAAGATGGGGTGGAGGATTTTTGGAAGTAAAAGCTCAAGCAGAACTGTGATTCTATTTTTTCTACTTCAATATTTTAGCCAAAAAATAGTTTAAAAAAGACTGATTTTGTTAAGGCTCTTATCAATTGAAGGCTTAAACTCGAAGGGAGATCCCACCTTTCAAGTTCAGACAGGTCAGAGTGAGTTTTGAATTGTACTTTCTATCTTTTGCATTTGAACTTGTTGGAACGGGGAGTTCAGATCTGCACCCCGCAGCATATCCCTGCCGTGTATTGGGAACATCTCCCGATGATGATATCATCATTTCTGGTATTATCATGGAAAGAAGTTTCCAATACAGGGTGGCGATGTGCTGTGGGGCACAGATATGAATTCCCGTTAGGGAGGGATTCCAGGCTATGGCATTTGGCCTTGCAAGGTGCGACCCACCTGAAAAAACTCTTGAAGCAATTTTGGCCTTTCCAGACTGTCAAGGTATTTAGAGCCAATAAACCCGTATTTTGTGAAAAACATGGAAAGCCAACTAGTTTTTTTTTTTTTCTAATTTCAAGCGTAATAGATAAGCATAAATAAGAGGCAATATATTGCAAGTTGAAGCTAGAAGAATTGGAGGAGTCTGGATCTCCTGCACAATTAATCCTTCCTGAAGATCAAATTAGAGAGTGCCATGTCAGCACTCTCTCATGCTTAAATTTCATATTTGCGAGTTAGAGTAACAGATTTTTCAAACATCCTCGTTGTTTTTAGGGTTAGGGTTTCTTTTTCCTATTTTGTTCAAATAAAATACAAGAGAATTAAATAATCGAGGACAAGAGTTCCAAATTCCAACTTCCGAGAATTAAACGTGAAGCTGAGATGACTCTTTGAATGATACTGAACCAACTGGAGTCAACAATTGAGGCAAAATATTTAATTGACCTTTCTCTGTCAATTTTAATATATGGAAAAGTATATTGCACTACAGTGCAGAATTCTGAATTCTACTGCAATCCTACATAATTCAAAATGACAAATACCCGCACCCTAAAACACCAATACCCACCCGTGGGGCTAAGAATTTTTAGGGTGTACTGAACAGTCATTCTCACTTTTAATATGTAGATAGACAATAAAAGATTCAAAAGAACAGAAAATTACCACTCGTGCAAACTTCCCAAGCTTCCCCTCTCCAGGTACTCGTACAGTACAAACACAAACCCCTTGTTTAAGTAGAATCCATGCATCTTTATAATGTTTCAAATTTCTGTTAGAGCAACATCTCCACCGGGAAGCTTTGCTTTAGCTTTATATACACTCCCTTGTCCTCACTTCTCTACACAGTATGTCTCATTGAAATTTTCAATGGCCATTACTATATCCTTGAAAGCTAATTCCCCGTCTTCTTCTTCATTACAATATATTTCTTTGCATGTATAATGGCGGATGAAAATTCCAAACCAGATCAACTGAATTATGATAATGACAACAAGAGGCATGGTTATCGACAATATCAGTTTCTTCTGCCCAATGCTTTTTGTTCTTGTTTGTTGAACTACTACTACTACTACTTCCAAGCTGTGGTGGTATCTCTCTAGTGAGTAAATTCTGGCTGAGGTTAAGCATAGATTGTAAGGTTACTAGCTTCCCAAGCCGGAGTGGAATTGTCCCATTCAACTTGTTATCAGTGAGTTTCAGAGATATTAATTCTTGATAATTTCCAAGTTCCTCTGGTTTTGGCCCACTTAAGTTGTTCTATGACAAATCCAGAATTTGTAGAAATGACAACCTTTCTATCTCTGCTGGTATGTGCCCAAAAGACCGATTGTTACTCAAGTTTAGTTTATATAGAAGTGAATATGAACTGAAAATCCCCACAGGAATGTCTCCTTCCAGTTGATTTGAAGAGAGATGAAGCTCTTGCAAATATTTCAACCTTCCAACCACCCTTGCGATTTGACTTGATATCGTGTTATCAGGACACACGGAAGAACCAGAGACTTGAACACTATCCAATTATTTGATAAGATGCCGGACAATCGGTTATCACCCGTATATTTGGGGGATGGACCCAACAAATATATTTGCACTAGTAGTGAAGTATTTAAGCTGTCCTCCTCTACAAATTTGTAAAAGAAGCTCACATTCCTTAGAGATATGGGTCCAAAAATATTCAGATATACTACCAGAGAAATTGTTAGAATGAACATAGAAGTAAACTGGGTTCTTCAAATGGGTTATGGTGGGAGGAAAGTTTCCTTGCAGCTGGTTTTCACTCAGATCAAGAAGTTCTAGACTCTCCAACTTGCCTATTTCACGGGGAAGGATTCCAGTGAATTGGTTATGGAGAGACTTATGTTGGCAAGCTGAGATAAGTTTCCTATGCTGAAGGAATTGAGCCGGTAAGAAAGTTGTCAGACAAAAAAAGATGGGGTTTTTATTGTTCAGTCTACCCCAAAAATCTGAGTCCCACCATACCGGTGGGATGAATCCTGACCATGGATCGATGCTAAATTCACGTGCAAGATGCGGTTTATAGGGGGGAGCTACTAGTAGACTAGGAGGGGACTGTAATTTCAGATTTCTGAGGTGGAGTGCAGTCTATTTATCCCCAAAAAGATTACCCATCGGAGATAAGTGTCGATTGGCAGACCAAACTACTTGTCTAAGTTAGGCAATTAAGTACCATTGCAGTAGAGAAGATCCAGAATGAAGCGAAAGAAACAAATTAAACTTAAATAGGGACGAATTGGTTTATAAGATTGAAATTACAGTTGGTGATGATAAATTAATGAAAATTAGGAGGCGTTGTGAATTGATTTGTTTTATGATTGACAAAATTCAAGATGGATGTACTAATGATCTTGGTCCCTTGATGGAACATGGTTAATCAATTTTTACTATTTTGGTTAAAGGTATAGTGGGTTGATGGGAAGTCATTGATAAGGCACTTTCCTTTTGCTTTTATTGAGTGATCAATCTTTCTCATAGTGGCATGGTCATGTGCATATAAAGGAAAAACAACCGTTAAGGGAACATTGATGAACCCAAATCAACCCTAATGGAGGAAAACATTAGATATTTATTCATCAACCAAGATCAACCTAGATTTTCCAACATTACATGGATCAGGTTTATGTTGAATTGATTGGCCAATATTCACAATAGAATCAACAATCATTGAATACCTATTATGATTTACACAAGATAAACGTAAATAATGCTTTTCATTTTTTGCAACTTTAGACAAAATTACAATATAAATACCTCTACATCTATGAACAATTATACAACTCTCTTTATGTTTAAGCATAAAATGAATTCTAACCATTTTGTTGAACTCCATCTATAACCACT